CAAAAGAATCCCTCCCTTTAGAAGATACATAATGAAATATTCACAGATGAAATGCTATGATATTTGGAATGCTAGGGTTGGGATTTTAGGAGTAGAAATACAGAGGAAACAAGACTAGATGTAAGTTGATAATTGTGCTGAGTAATGGCGGCAGGAGGGCCACTCTATTACCCTACTTTGGAAAATGCTAGAAATTGTATTTCAATAAAAATTTTTATTACAAACAATATGAAGACATCTTACGAAGAAAAATTATGCTTTGCAGAAAAAATCTGATGGAAACAAACAAAATATTGAAAAGTACACTTGTCCCTTGGTATTTGTGGGGGATTGGTTCCAGGAACTATCAAGTCCCTTATGAAAAATGGCTTAGTAATTACATACAGCCTACACATATCCTCCCATGTACTTGAACTCATCTCTAGATAACACCTAATACAATGTAAATGCCATGTAAGTGGTTGTTATACTATATTTTTACTTGTGTGTTATTTTTTATTGTTTTACTGTTTTGGGGTTCCCCCCCCCAAATGTTTTTGAGTCCATGGATGCAGAACCCACAAGTACAGACGGCTGACTTTACTTGACCTTGGTAATGTAATGATGGAACTACTTGTCTACCTTTTTAAAACAATGCAAGTAAAACTGGTAAGTATTGAAGAATCCAATTTGAGAAGTAATGGAAGTTATTGATGGGTCTACTGCATATTTAAATATATGGATAGTAAAAAGGAAGGTCAAGAAATAAGCTTTTCTGAAATTTATTAATATTTATATAAACTAATATTCACTTACACTATAACATTGGCCATATTTATAAAACTATCTGTTATTTCTCTAAAATGTTCTCAATTCAAGTGTTCTCAATTCAGAAATGCCTTTCACCAGGAAACTGAACTGTAGCAATCAATGAGTATGAATGAGGTAGGAAAAATCCTTATTAAAACTGTTAATTAAAATATAATGGCTTTATAATTATTTCATAATTACATGATTTTATAGTATGTTGCTCTTACTACTTTATGCACTATTTCTAAAAACTGCAAGGATTAAAAACAATAGTGCCCAGTATATTTGTACTCAGCTATTAGGAATGGTTAAATTAGCTACTGAGCATGAAAAATACAGAAGGAAGATTAAAATACCTGTGAGCATATGTTGGGAATGTGGGCTGTGCAGATTGCACTTCCATGACAGGAAGTCAGCTAAAATACAAATCATAAAGTAGAATTAAAGGAGGTTATTTAAAATACACACCATATGCCAGATGGAACAGGTAAAAAGTTAAAAGTCTTGAAATAGGAAAAAGTAGGGCAGAGCACTGTTATTTTTTGTTATAAGCTTTGCACTATTACCGTTTTTAAAACAACGTACCTGGTCTACTTGGATAAACACTAAATTTTAATAAGCACACACCAATAGAAAATGTCTCACCAATAGTCATAGCTCTCATCCCAGTTGTCAAAATGTACCAGGAAACGATTGTCCACCATATCTGTTACCGTAGCAACACAGATGAATGCAGGATTCTTTTTGTCTACAGCCTCAAGCTTCATACCAACTCGAAAGCCTGATGGGATCACTGTCTACGGAAACATACAGATTTAATTAGAGATAAGCACACACTTAACAACAGCAAGACCTGCACACTCCCTGCATCTCCTGCTCAAGGGCCCAGCATCCATCACTGTAGTCACGTAATTTAAAAATCATGTGCTAGTTTCACAGCAGGGTCGCTTTCCAACAAGCAGCAATAAAAAAAATACCCTATCGCTACACCCAATTAACCATCTGGGCCTCAAAACTACAATATTCACAGCCTCACGGTTTTAAATAATTAATTTTAACATGTGTTTTGTTACCTTTGTTAGAAAACTATACTAGTTAGGCAAGTTTTATTCACCATATAGTTCACATTTGTTCCTTTTTCTTGATTACAGACTTAACAATGAAAATTATTTCACACAAAATATGCACTTAATCAAGTTAAAAATGTGCATGAGTCAGTACGAATTCACTCCCACTTCTGAAAAGCTCTCTCCGAAGAGTACTCTACTGAAAGTAGGTCATCTTCATATATGAAAGGCTACAAATTATTACAACTTTTACTTAACACTGCAGGTACTTTTTAGTCACAACAGCAACAAAAGAATTTTTAATGTATACAGACATTAAAATAGTTGGTAATTTAAGGAAATTCACAGATTATCAGCCATCCGGGACATGGAATGAAAGCAATAAAAGTTCAGTTAACAGTCGGTACTTGAGGTCCAGTAATATGTAAACATCTCTTACAATCTTTTCCGAGGAAAAACACCCTAATCTCAGAGCAGTACACTTGGATATCAATCATAACACATTGTAAGTCATTTCTCCCCTTCTAAAAAAACCCTTCTGTTCAGACTCAAGTATATGGATTCTATTCTAACTACTTTAAGCAAAATAGATGTTATCTTGTTTTACTGTAATTAAACAGCTAGCATTGCAAAAATGCAGACAATTGTGTATCTGAAAATGTTAGAACAAGTCCTGTCTGCACTGAAGGAGCAGGCACTAATGCTACACAGAAATCTTTACTATACAATTAAATCCTGAAATTATTTATCACAGTTCCAACTATAAACATTTGAGCATTCTGAGGTAGAGGAATCTAGAAATGGAAAAATTAATTGCCTCCTAGATACCAAACACGTAGCCCAAGATTAAGTTACCCACTAGCAATGCACAGCACTTAAGAGGATGGTTCAAGGCAGTTAATCAAACCCCTGACTGAAGTCATCATAAAAGAACCAGACAGGGATTAGGAAACTTGGAACAGAGACAGCAGGCTGCTGAGTTTTGCGCCTAACTGACCTTCCTCCCTGGGGTAAGTTTTGATGGAGAACACCTACCAACAGTGCAGTATTTACATCTCAGCGATTAAGCTACCCTCTCGATTAAGGTATTTTAAAATAATAACCTGGTTCGCTATCTCTATTAGTTACACACACACAGACATACTCCTTCAGTTCTCTAATTCGACCTGGTTTATCTTCAATTTAATCAGAGAACGTTTCAGCCATTAGACCAATGCTCTCAAATCAACATGTTAATTCTGTTTCCCAAAAGGAGGGTTTTTGGAGTAGGAGACGAGTTTTTTCCCCACTCCGGGTATTTATTTCCATTTGGAGGGAACACTGTTAGTGAAACAGTACTGCCCCTCTCCACCCTCTCACTCAATGCTACCTGCCTATTGACTTTGAGGAGGAGGAACTGGTCGTACACTTGGGAGGAAGCTGGGCTGCAGAGTGCAGTTTTTCCACTCCACTCCTCGAGGCTCTGGCGTTCCCTAGACTCAGGGAGTAGGGCAGGAAGGGACACTAAATCTCTTCAATTCTAGGGCTCAGAATCAGGATGCCTATTGTCCACAGATGCAGGCCATGCATGTCCTCCAACCTAGCCCTTATCTGTTGTAAAGATATTTTGGTTTTCCACTTGCTTGCTCTCTGTTCTTTCTAAGTAGATCAGAACTTGGGAAAAGAAGAGTATATCATATCAGGTCCCCTCAGAGATGCCAACAGAGGAACATAAAATGGAAACCGGGAATATAGCTCAAGAAGTAGAAAATACACACACATCTAGAGTTTGCTTCTGTTACACTGCAAATACAGCTGTATGCTGGAGTGAATGTTAGTCAGTCTCCAGTGACCTCCTGCACGTGAACTCAAACAGGGCTACCTTCCTCTGACCACGTGAAACCCATTTGAACAGCACTCCTCAATAAGTGATCACAGTAATAAAATATCTCAATTTAATTTTTATGCATCTTAATTGTAAATTACACCTGGATTTTGTGCTACAATGTCTTCTGTCACTCAATAAAAAAGACAACCATAATATGGCTATAAAACAGACATTTATTCATGAAGATATTAAGCTAATTTTAAAGTTTAATTAAGATAAGAGTACTCTATTTACCAAGGCAATAAAATTTATTGCAGTTCCTTGTTACCACTTGTAATTGATCCTACGAGACACTCAAAAATCAGTTCCTTTGAAAGGGAAAGGATTTGAGATGTACTTACTATATTCTGATTTTCAAATAATGACTTAGGAGCAGCTTGAGCTTTGCATGTCTTAAGATATGTCTGCCAGTTGAATTCTTCTTCTTTATAACCTAAAGTAAGCACATATGAACAGACTCAGGAAAATATCAAACTACTTTACGCTTGAGTTTTCCAGTCTCACTTTTATCTATAACTCCAACATACCCAAATCAAGCAAATGATTTTTTAGATAAAAAAAATAATTCATAATTTTTAACTAGGAATTGTTAGACACAGCTCTATTTTCAACAAATCTTATTATTTTTTTCAATTCTGAATAAATGGTTAGTAGATATAAAGAAAAGGCGTGAGGAAGCAAATGCATATTCTACCCAGGCACACTTTTTATTACCCGGCCATTTCTATCAGTATTTGGGCAGAATTCCTCAGCAGTATCGACTAATGAACTGGAGCAGTCAATTTCTCTATTCTTCCCTCACCTATTCTATTTTGGGAGACTAACTTATACAACAACTGGAAGTTGGAAAAAAACAATAATAAGTCAGGTAAAATCTTTTTGGCTATCAGCACAAGAATGACGAATCAAGGTTTATGAAGTAAGGATGACGGCAAATTACAATAATGGAAATGTCCTTGCCTTAATTTTCACAATTTTATTAAAGTCAACAGTTGCTTGAAAAAGGACATTGAGCATTCTATTTTACCTGCTACTGTGCTCCCTTTTATTTTCATTAACGTCTAGAAGGTAGCAAGAAAAGAAGAGCTAGTAATTTACCACATGTTAAGAGGCCAATTCATAAAAAGGCTTACAAGTTTTTTCACCTTCATGTTTTCTAAGCCTTTTTGTTTAATCCTCCACTCTCTGAAAATATGATTCTGCCATTGATTTTTCACTTACAACCAAGGATTGGCTAGTCCATTAGAAAACAACATCCCTGACACAGGCCAAAAACATCATACTACTAACCTGAATTTTTGACATCAAGTATATAATAATGAACATAATGTCAGTCTCAGTAAAATAAGTTTAAAAAATGTAACAGTTGAAAAAGGAGGAAACAAGGTATTCTTAAACACATTAGAGATGGACTGAAAAATGGTATCTGTTATTGTCGGACCACTATGTAAACATCAAACAGGAAAAAATCATTGTAATAAAGAACTTAATTATAAGAAAAGTCATCACTATGAGTTCAATCTCCACCTAAGCCAATTTTCAGAGTTATAGTCTCCTTTTCAATCTCCCAAAATATTACGATCTAAAAGTGCATGCATAATTTTTCAGGATTTTCTAGATACTGAAATATCAATAAATAAACTTAGGTGTGTAAACTAGTTAAAACTAATTTTTCAAACCAGTTTTTTCAAGAATGTACATATGATAGAAATCTGTACAGTAAGGTGATTGTAGCCAAAGTTAAGTATCATGCAAATGTTATTTTATATTCAAACAAGAACATGGACATAGTTTAGTCTCAAGTTGGATTCTACTTTTACTTCTTCACTGTAATAAACATTTTTCATCATAAATGATGAGTCTGAGTTTGGGGCCATCTCAATTATCATAAAGTCTGAAATTCTGAAAAATTCCAAATCAGCATATAATAAAGTGAGTTTTTACTGAATTTAAAATACGAAACAAAAAGTGACAATACCTTTTGGAGGATGGAGTTTATGACCAGTTTTCTCACACCACCCAACTGGGTGAATGTCCAGAGCATCTGCATTGACCCAGAAGTCATAACAATCAGAATATCCATCAAAGTGAAGCTTTATCCGGTACCCACAAACCTGAAATAGGTAAAGCAGGTTGGGTAATTAAAAAAAAAAAAAACCCCACAGAATATTCTTATACACATACAAAAACAAACATGGACATCGAGAATGATATAGCTTATGTTATTCAAACCACTCACATTAACAGCAACAAAAACTAAATAAATAACAAAACCTAAAGGCAAAGTCTATTATAATGGAAAGAGCGGAGCTGCAGTATTCTGGCAATACCCCTATTTACAATAGGAGCACATGGATACTGGGTGAAGAATTATTTTTCCACGAATACAAGTCCTCTCTTCATTCCCTATACTGTACCAGCACATGCCAAGCAAGGCAAGCTGGCAGGGAGTAAAGAGACCAGCACTCCACACCCAGCTTCAGCAAGCCCCAGGGTGGACGCTCTGCCCCATACTGAATGGTGCAGACAGAGAGAAGTCAACAGATTCTCTTCTCCACCAGTAGCTGGGTTGAAAGAAAGAAAGATAAGCCTCCCCTAGTTCATACATAAGATGAGACGGGCTCCTTGGAACGTTAGAAATAACTCACTGTGTGTAACACATGCCCTACACCTGCCTACAGGACCCCATTAGGGATGTTCTGAATTAGAAGGTCACATGGGTTTATGGGACCTGAGCTGGGTCGTGTTCTGTTCTTCCCACTAGCACAAGCAGATGTGTTCAATTAGAAACACATACCACACCCACTCTGGGAGCACCTGCCCTGCAGAAGCCTGAACAAGAAGCTTGAGACCAGAGTGCAGAGCCAGGGCAATTAATCCCTAAATAATGAGGTGGCTATACAGTTACTGTCATGGAAAGTTCTCTAAAACACACTGTTAAAACCCACATGGCAAAGCAAATCACACAGGATGAGTTCATTTATGAGAAAATTATATATGTGGGAGTCCACATGTATATTTATGTGTATACGATTATACATATATATGTATTGTATTTGTATACTCAAATACCTAAGTAAATGCATTTATACACATACATGCATATACACACTGACATGTACCCATATATATGTAAACTCATAATAAAAACATCTGGAAGAATATTTGTCAAAATATTAACAATAATTTCTTCTGGGAAGTGGTAGTGAGAAGGAAGAGGCAAAAAGGGAATGATGGACTTTTTATATATTTTATTGTATATATTAGTATTTCTTCAATTAGAATGCATTTATATATTACATATATAAAATTTACAACTAAGCTGAGCCTAGAATCCCCAGGAAAAACAATCTCTCAAGAAGGGCAGCTGGTTGCCTCTACCCCCGCACCCACCCCATGCCAAGAAGGAACTCAGGCTGCTGCTCTACTCTGCCTCCCACTTGGCTGCCTCTGGTCGCTGCCTAAGAGCTAAAGCCCTTTACTTTCAGCCTCTAGTCCCCTCGTGGGCATAGTTCTCTGAGTGTCTGTCCCCTTGAGCCACCCTTGCTCTGTTCTCCCCATAGTCTCTCTCCTCATCTCGTACTCTTTGGCGTGCTATGCTTTGGTAAAAAATCTCTGATGTCCTCAACTTCCCTGCCAGGGACAAACCTAGTTCATCCCTCTACAGCCTTTCCTCAGGGCTGCTCATCCTCCCACCTCTCCATCCCATAGACACCAAGGCAGGGCTGCTGCCTCCTGCCACACCGAGGCTCCTGGGCCTGTCCCCCTTGAGGCTGTGCCATGTGGCCACAGCACCTCTCCCTGTCACCATCCATGCACTAACCTCCCAAACAGCCCCTCTCACTCATCAAACGCTCAGCCCAGCTCCCTCTCTTACTCTCCACTTGAGTACCTCCATCATCACATGATAACTTACCCAGTACCCTGGCCTTTTTGCTGCCTTCATTTCCTTTCCCCTGCAAACTCTCACTCCCGTGGACCTAGTCCCCACCAGAAACTGCTCTGCTATTAACTGTTAAATGAAAAAAACCCCAACAATATCAACACATACTCCTATTCTTCTAGTTTGCCAACCCAGTTATTCCCAAGACACTCTTAAGCAATGTCAACAAAAGATCTCACATTGATCCTCCCTAGCCCCCTCACTCCAAGCTTCCCTTCCCTACCAGTCGCTTAAAACATTTTCTTGCCAACATTTGAAAATTTTTGCCCTGACGTCCTTCCCAAAACATTTGCCTGGTGAAATTCCATCATCCAAGTATCCACTAAACTTTACACTTATGAACAGTGCTGGGAAAGAAAAAATGACACATTGTCTGTCAATCTCCATTATTCATGTATTCTGTACTTGCAAATTCATTTGTAACCCCAAATACACTTGGTGTTCAAGGACATGTGCATGCACAGAGTGACAAAAATTTTGAATTGCCCGATACACATGATCCCAGCTAAGGTAGAACATGGCATTGCTTTTCCTTCTTGAGCTGAAAGAAGAAGGAAAGTGTCCTCTGTGCAGTCTATTTAGTGCCACATGCTCTACATCTCTGCTTTTCGTTGGTGATTTTGCTGTTTAGAACAGCCGTACACACAGTGAAGTGTTGTTGAGTGTTCCTAAGTGCAAGAGGCTGTGATGTGCCTTAGGGAGAAGATATGTGCTAGGTAAGCTTCATCAGGCATGAGTCACAGTGCTCTGGTTGTGAGTTCAATGTTAATGAATTAACAATGTACTATATATTAAGTAAGCTGTCTTTAAAAAGAAACACACATAAAACAAGGTTACATGTTGATCAGTAGACCAAGAAGTGACCAGAGGCTCACAGGAATCTAACCCTCTATTTCCCCCGGGAGGCAGTGGTTCTGTATTTGCTAATTTGTGGAAACTCACTGCTGCGAATAACGAGAATGGGCCAATGAGAATGGACCGTGCCTGAATGCTGGGCTCTCCTGCTGTACTGCAGTCCTCCTAGATGGCCCCCCCAGCTCCCTCCCCCATTCTTCACAGCAGCCTTTTCAGATCGTCCTCCTTCGGCTTCCAATCCCACTTTCTTCCTCCTCACTCTCAGCCAATAACTCATCTTATATGTCAAAGAAGTTCCTTCAAATGTCTGCCTCCAAAGTAACAAGCCTGCCCGTATCCACAAACTGCAATCATTCTCCCCTCCTTCTTGTTATAATACGAGACTCAGACCTCTCCTGGCTAAGGCTCAGGCCTCCTCATAGACTCTGGGTCCCACCTTCTCCTACCCACTTTCTCTGAACCTTCTCATACTCTACTCCCTAGACTGTCTCTCAGGCTTAGGCAAACAAATTCTCATATACTGTTTGTGAGAATATAACAACCAATGACCTTTTTTGGAGTCAAAGTAGCAACATGCATTGAAAATTTAAATATTCATACTTTTCACCTGGCAATTCTAAAGATGGATCCCACAGACTTACTTACATAAGCAAAAGCAAACAGATGTAATAGGATGGTCCCTGGAGCACTTTTTTGTATTAATAAGAAAATGAACACCACTCAGTTGTTCATCAATATAACAACAGTTAAATTAATTACAGCCAATTCCACAAAATAGAGTAGTACCCCACTTTAAAAAGAATGTGTATACATAATGTAATATACAAATCACAAAAGCAAGTTGCAAAATATTATGTATATGATACTATTTACATGCAAAAAAGAGAAAAATACACATGTACTTATTTTTACATGCACAAACAACATCTAGAAGGAACACAGTAAACCGTCAAGGGTTGTGCTCTCTGGGATATGGAAGGAGGGATGAGGGATGGCACAGAGGACTTCTTTTTTTTATAATATATACTCATAATACTTGAAGTTTTCATAATGAGCAAACGTAACTTTTATAATAAATAGGCAAAGTAAAATAAATCTCCTTCAAAAAGCAAGAACTGAAAGACACACACACACTCACACACATGCACACCCTACAGAAATTCCTTTTTTCTCTGACAGCTAAACTTCTCTAAAGCAGTTTACACTTACTGAATCCGCCTCCTCATGATGCTTTCATAAAACTCAACCCTGTCTCCAAATACTCTAGGTTAGACTGCCCTGGCCCAGGACACAACATCCGATACTGCCACTCCACCCCTCCGTAAGCTGCTCACTCTCCCTGGTTTCTGCAGCTGCAGGCCCAACCCTCCTGGCTTTTCTGTCTGTCTCTTGCTTTTCCTTTTCAGGATTCTTCTCTGGCTCTTTCTCTTGTGCCCATCCCTAATATGCTGGTATTCTTCAGGGCTAGCAATTCACACTTTGTCCTCTTTCTGGGCAATCTCTTCCACTTCAAAGGTCTAATCCAATTATTCACCAAGAAATTCTGACTCTCCCCTTTCAACTCAAAAGGAACAAACAGAGTCCAGGAAGGAGAACACATACAATGTGTTCTGATCAAGTTTGAGAGTGACAGGATTCTCACACTCTATATAAAATCTCCAAAAATGTTGCATACCAATTTTCTGATATGAGTAGAAGAAGCCAGCCATTTTCCTTTTACTACATATTACATTTATTACAAACTTCAAGTTACTTTAGCTCTGCCTCAGTTTTCTCATCTGAAAAATGGGGGGAATGGGCTCCATCTCAAAAGTTGTTTTGAGAACTAATATGAGCCAATAGATGGAAAGTACTTCAATTAGCACCTGGCATGCTCTCTGTACCAGTGTGTTGTCATTTCCTGTGATTGGCATCATCCAGCTATTACGTGTTACTGTGTTTTGCAGGAGCCAAGCTTCTTACAAATTCACTAAGGAAAGAATACTATAATACCAAAAACTAGAGCACAAGACCATCTTATTCTTTTGATGGGAATTTTAAAAATATACATACCTCTGGCTCAGGGGAGTGAGCAGGGAGGAAGCTAGCAGAGGAGGGGGAAAAAAATTTTAAAGGAAGTGTTCTCAGCAATATTTTGGACTGAAATATATGTAATTGACTTGGTCACTTTTTCCAGAAAAAATTTCAGAGAGATACTGTGAAATACTAAAAAAAAAAATATATATAAGTATCTGTTGGTCTGTTTCTGAACACAGTATGACAAAAGCTATGAAGTCAGGCAGACCTGGGTTTAAATCCTGGTTCTACCACTTTGAAGCTGTGTGGCCTTTTCTATTTCACTTCACCTCTCTGAGCCTTAGTTCCCTAACCTATAGAACAAGGATGAAAAAAACATGACCTGCATAGGATTCTTCTAAAGATTAAATGAGATAATGTACACAAAACACCAAGCTTTGAACCTGGTATGAAGTAAGCCCTCAATTTCCTCAGTATTAAAATAATCATCATGTTATTTTTGAAAATAAAGATGAGGCAAAACTTACCTCAGCCACAGTGAGAACACAGTACACGGACTGATGCTCTGGGTCCACGCCTTCTAATTTCATGCCAACTTTGAATCCATTTTTGTTATACGGAAAGGACTGATACTAAAATGCAAGAGAACAGCAGCTTTAGTATCTTATCCTGAAGGCCTAGTTAAAAATGTGAGTAATTACCATTCTTAAAAGACTACTTAACCAAATACATAAATAAATACTAAAAACCCAAAAGAAAACAATAAATAATTCAATAGAAAAATGGATAAAAACTATAAACAGGTCAGAGGAAAATAAACTTAATGTTTTACAGCCTTTGTCTTTTACGTATTTGAAAAGAGGCTCAACCTCACCCATAGGAGTCATACAAAGTAAAATTATACCAAGGTATATTTCACTTAAGAGGTTGATTAAGATCAAAAATTTTGATAACATCATGTTGGTAAGATGCACACACAGTTAGGAGGAATGAAACTTGGTACAACCTGTAGCAATTTCATAATATCTACTGGCGTGTGTCAATCAATAGAGAGGAACTTAAATTATTATGGAATACACCTAAGATGGAATACTATGTGTTAGCATAAAAGAATGATGAAGGGATTCATGAGCTGAGATGAAATCAACTCCAAACTGTCAAGTTAAACAAAAAAAAGCAAAGTCCAAAACATATGTGACATATGTTGCGATTTGGTTTAAGACAGAAGAGGGGAGGATTTGTGTAAATTGCTGATATGTACATAGAATTTTCCAGGAAGGGAACACAGGAACTGGCAACAGCCATCACTTAGGAGAGGCAAACTGGTGCTTAGGGGGACAAGGCTACAAGGGACATACTTTATATTCTTTTAGTACTCTCACATTTTGTATCACATGAATATATTGCTGATTCAAGTCATTAGCTGTATCTACACTTTTTTAAAAAATCTGAAAAACTCTATTTTGTAAACGACTCAAGTTACAGAAAATAATTACACAGAACAAGTTTATATGTAATTACTATGTTTAAATTAAATATTCTTAATGTACATGTAATCAACATTTGTTATTCATTACTTTTTAAAAACTGCCTATGCTCATACACATATAAAAAGATAACTATAGCAGATTTATTACATACCATGATTAAAAATAACTAAATAATTTAAACCAAGGGTCTGTAAACTACAGTCTGTAGGTCAAATCCAGCCCACCATTGGTTTCTGTATTAATAAACGAAGTTTTACCGGAGCACAGCCATGCTCATTTGTTTACATATTGTCTATGGCTGCTTTCGTGCTACAACCACCATGCTGGGTTGTTGCAACAGAGACCAGATGCCCTGAAACACGTAAAATATCTACTACCTAGACAGAAAAAGTTTACTGACTGCTGTTTTAGTCCAGTGACAGCAGCTCCTACTCAGAACTATACCTGTTATCTGTATTTTTAACCGATTTTAAATCACTTATGATAAAATATTTTTATTATAGCTAATATAACATAATGACCCATTTTTAAATGTTTTGTTGTGATGGTATGTAAATCATTTTAATTCTCCCAAAGCCGTAACGTTGACATGAAATTTCCTGCCAGTTTTTTATCTGCTAGTTTTTCAGTAGCAGTAGCAGTATCCCTGCTAAAATTTCTGAGTGCAAACTCAGTCAATACTGAGAGAAAAGAGCATGCATGTGTCGGTGTGCACCCATGCGTGTGGCACTGGGGAGGTGTGCACACATCAATGCTAACTGTCTTCCACATAAACACACGCATGAAAAACTATGTGTCTGCCAAATGATCCCAAGTCACATTTCCTAAACAGACAGTGGGAATGACAATCCCAATTTGGATGAGCATCCCAGCCCCTGTGCCCTCCCAGACCCTGTTTCTAAAGGGCGTATACCTCCTTGAACAGCTTTGCCGGCACCGCCACAGCTTTCTCCTCCTCCAGGTAGGAAGCCCAGCACCACGCTTTCTTTCCTTTAGGAGGCAAACCTGAAAGTCAAGTGAGACTAAAATGGCAGAATTTCCAAATCTAAGGAATCAGTGATGCACTCTGTGAACTCTCACTTCCCTGACTACCACTATGCCTGGCTCTCCTCTTACTGCCACAGCCATAGTATCTCCGTTGCAATTCCTGGCTCCTCTTCCCAAGAAACGAGAATTAAGTAGTGAACTGTGGTATACAGCCACCATCGGGAGGGTAGAAGAAAGAAGTGAAAGAACTTTAAGTAAATGAAGAAGACAAGTCAGGAAGCCAAGATAGAACAATACCACAGAAGCGACAGGAAGTGAGAGCTTCCAGAAGCAGGATATTCAAAACATTTCTCCTAAGAGATCAAGAACAAGGACTGAGGAAAGGCCAGTGCATTGAGTGGATGAGGATTGGGTGTTAATCTTGGAGAGGGAGGAAAAAAAAAAAAATCAGTGCAGTGAGAGTCAGAATTTTTAGGCACAAAAAGAATACATAAGTGATAAAAACATGGAAGTAGTTAATATCAATTGTATTTTGGATTAATTTGACAAATACTGGAAGTGAAGGGAAGAGGGCAACAGCTTGATGGGCAGCAAAGTTGGGGGAAAGGTATTTTGGGGATGAGACTGGAACAGGCAAAGGTAGAGCCCACAAAAAGAAAAAACAGAAAACTTAAAGGGAAAAAAAAATGAAGGAAAGAGGTCCCATAAGAGACAGGGCCCTGGAATTTCACCCAGAATACAAAGAAAGGGGATGAGAAAGAATGGTGGAAGAAACATATTTTGAGGCAGAGCACAGAGTAGTTGAGTTTACTCCCTTTTATCTCAGTGACATAAAATACGTCATCTCTGAAAAGATACAAAAGTTAGGCTATGCACTTGGGGCAGGTGGGGATATTTCCAACTCTTTTTGAGGAATTAACAGAAGAACAAGTGAGGAATGCATCCGGGCACCGAGGAGCAGCACTGGCTCCAAGACACTGATCTGTAGGGACAATGTGACCGTGCGAGCCACATGGGCTGTGCAGAGCGGAGCAACCTAAAACGAAAGACTGGCCAGTGGCTTCTGCAGGCCAAGGGGCTAAAGCCCAGGGGAGCACTCTGGGGCCTCTGTGGGAATGAACTAAGTTCCCCAAGTTCATCCAGACAAATACTAAGGAAGAGTCTAAGGGCGGGATTCCTCATGGCAATAAAACGCTGCCTGAGGAACGATGAAAGGGAAAAAAAAAAAGTTACCATGTCGGGAGCTTGTGCTTTGAGAGGAAACACTGAAAACCTAAAACCTTGGGAAATGAATAAGAACTGATGTTTTAGTAAAAGGGCAGAAGCAGGAACCACCTACCTGATGGAAAAATAAAGATGTTCTCGTGCTTACCCTGAAACCACTTCATAGTTACAAATTTCCGTTTTTCTCCTTATCTACTTCCTCAAATCCTTAATTTTTATTGATAAAACTGAGCCAAAGAAAATCCCAAAGCAATACTTTAACTGTCACAGTGTGCATTACAACGAAGACTAAAATTTCTACCTGTGTACAATATTGCCAATTGCAGAAGGCTACAAGTAAAACTTCTTTTCATCAGCTCACCCTGCTTTAACACAGCCGAATCTCCTCGTCTTTTCCTTCGGGCTCTCTGCGAACCTCTCAGGATTCTTCCATCTTGTTTATTCTCCTACAACGAGAAAGGAAAATTATGACTTTGAAAGTTCATAAAATTGGCACCAACGAAAAGTTAGAGAGCTGTCAGAAAGCATTTTTTTGCTGTTGTTCTTTTCTTCAATTTCACTTTGTAACTTTTAAGGAAAGAAAAAGAGTATAGTTCATTTGAGCACTGTGTTGTTTTTGGCCTGAGGTCATTATAAAATAAGACTGGTTCCAAGAACTACCCGCGGGAGGAGCACAGACTCTGCTCCCTCCTCTGCTGCTCCTCGAGGCACCGTCCGCTCCTAACCCCATGGCCACTCTGTCCTGGTTTTCCTCACACCCCCCTTTCCCCTCCTTCTCAGTCCCCTTCTCTTCTTTTTCTAATCACTTCCCCTGGTTTTAAAGGTCATCTTAATACCAAATACTCCCAATCCCTATCTCCACCCCCTTCTCCCTGACTCCCTGTGTCAGCACCCAACTGCCTACTTGGGATCTTCCCCTGGATGGCTAATAAGCATCTCAAACTCAGGATGGCCAAAGGACTCCTGATCCTCTACTTCACCCCTGCCTCCCATTCTCAGTAAGTGACATGATTATCCAGTTAACTGTGGAAGCCAAAAAATCTAAGAGTTATCTATCCCTGATTCTTTTCTTTCCCTCATACACTCTGACAACACTACCTCTAACATGGATCCCAAATCCGCTGACTTCTATCTTCCACAGCCCTCTTACCTAGTCTACTGCGATCAACTCTTACCTGGTTTCCCTCATTCCACTCTTGCTCTTGTCCGTCAAAGCTACAGTGGTCATTTTAAAACATACATCACTATCAAAGCATTCCTTCGCCTTCAACTTTACAATGGCTCTCATTATATTTAGAATACAATAAAAACCCATTACTGTGCTTTACTATAAAGCCCTCCATGCCATGGACCACACATACCTCTTCAGCTTCATCTACTCCACTCTCCCAGAAACCACAATGCTCAACCATATTGCCTTTTTAAATTTCTTCGAACAGAAAATGCTACACAAGTTTTTACCTTGGGGATTTTCCCCTAGAAGTCCTACTGTCCAGAGGACTCCTCACTCTTAACTTTTTACTTAGCTGGCTCCTCAATATTGAGATCACGTCAGTCATGTCACCTTTTTGGGGAGGCCTCCCTGACAACCCCACTTAAAGCAGTCAGCCAATCCTAAAGCCCTATCTTAATTCTCAACATAGCACTTATCACAAGCTGATGTTTCCCCTATTCATTTTGTTTGTTTATTTTATGTCCCCTTAACAAAAATGCAATGTCTCCGAGAGGAGAGACCCTGTCCTCTCTGTCTTATTCATCCCTATATCCCCAGCTTCTAGAATAGTGACTAGCAAATAACGGTTGCTCAATATTGATCTTAAGGAAAATGCTTCCAGACCTCAAAGCTCTCTCCTCATATAGAATCATTAATATACACTTTAAGGATAATACATTTATGTTTTAATTAGCACATTTTGAATGACTTTTCCCCAAATATACCTGATATTTATGTGCCATTTTCTACCCACTCACATAGTTCTATGAGATCTGTCTGCAATTTACCAGAATGGGAATGGCATTTTGCTGTCAAGAGGAATTTAAGATTCATTTACAAAACTCAAGGTTTTGCTGTTGCCTCTCACTCCAGCAATACATTTCGGGACAACCCATTTCTCCATCCTGAGGGAAGGATACCATTATTTATTATTCCTACTTTGAGATGAGGACAGCCAGGCACAGGGAAGGTAGGCAACTTGCTGATGGTAACTCAGTCCTGGAACTAGCATTTGAATTCAAGTAACTAGCTCCACATAAGTGCTTGTGACCCACAATGCTACCCACTTAAGAAGCATCCCTGTGCTCCTGGTGGGCGGGTAAGAGATACTAACCATTTCATCATCTCTCTCTTCTCCATCCTCCTTGGGGTCAGCTTTCACAGATAATTTTGGTTTTTTCTTCCGACTACACTTAGGATCTTCTTCCTCGTTGTCTTCTCCTATGTCCCTTTCTTCCTTCTGATCTCTGCTGTGTTTATAAACCCAAAATAGTGACAGGAGACAATACCTATCAAACATCTACATGTTGATTATCAATGCAAAAATTGTTTTTAAACAATCGCCTTCCAAAGGAAAAAATATTTAACCACCAGGAGAAATTTGTAGGCATTAGAATATCACATACAAGGAACACTTAAAAACCACTATTATGTATGACATCCGTCAGGGTAGAAAATGGAAATTACCTTATATATTAATTTCAAAAGGGGACCAGCAATCCATGTGAAATAGGTTCTAACAAGTTTATAATTACTGGTCTGCCACATCTGCCATCCATGCTACTAAAAGAATCTACTATTTAGAGAAATTTGTTTTCAGGGCCATTCAAAGCAAGAATCTAGCAATTACTAAGAATGACAAATCAACCAAAAAGGCTTAGTGTACCTTTGTAAAACATCTGTTGGCCAAGAATAACAGACAATTCCCAAACCTGTGCTGATTAAAATACACGGGAAACTCCACTAAAATATAAATGTCAAGTCATTTCTTTGTATGATAGTGTACAATTATATGCAAGAAAACCACCTTCTTGGTGATAAGCTGAACTTTTTCAGACAGTCCCCAAATGGGAAGGTCACATACCACTGCCAGTCACAGCTGATGTCCCTGTCTCACAACCCTCAGTCTGCACCATGAGACCACCAACACAACTCACTACGCCACCCACTATGGCCATTTTCATTCAGTTGATTACCAGTCAGTGGGAGCATTATTCCACATGTGGAGTTTTAGGTAAGTCATCTAAGAATTGCCAAAATATAAATAAAACTGTATTTCCATAAATCTTAGCATCATCAAAATGAATATGTAGCCCCAGAAAAATAAAAATATTATTAGCTGGGGGCGGGGAAAGATTAATGTAAACACAGGGCTGATGACAGAGGCAGAGGTTGTATTGCAGGCAGAACACTGGCAGTACAACTCAGACAAGGCATGACAGAAGTCACCAGGTCCAATAAAGGGGTCAGGGTCCATGGGTCTCTAAAGGAAAAATCTCTGGGAAAAAGGTACAAATAAGTGTCAGCTGTCAGAGAACACAAAACCTCTATATTCTCAGGCAGCATGACTTTGGACTCTAAAACCCATTTTACAGATGGAATGGGGCAAAAACCTACTTGTCTTTGACATGGCGAGCACAGTTCTGGCTGCAATAGTTTCCTCCAGAAAGACACTCATCTACATTGCCATACTGACAACAGTTCTCACAGAATTGAAGCCCTTCTACTTTCATTGGATCCTTCAACCTGAAAGGCATCCCAGTCTTCTCTGAAAAGACTAGAAGATGAAAAAAAAAACAGAACAAAACAAAAATTAAACCATGACAGAAGACAGCCCAAAATACAATTAAGCTTTTTCTTCTAATAATTTTGTTAGCAACACAATAAAAGAATGGTGTTTGTTGAATGAATGAATGATCAAATTATATTGTTTAGGAGGGAGAGGGGGATGGGCTTGCAGGAAATCACTCAAATCATTTATATAATGAAAAAATATTCTGCAGAAAGGATAAACAAAAGCTTGTCCAAGGCTTTTTCTACAGAGTTCAAAGTAAAATGAAGTCACTAAATTCAGAAGATTTAATTATCAACCTATAGAATCTTATTCTACATTTGTATCTTTGAGAAAATTTAAAAAGAGTTACCTATGTTATTCCACATTTATAACCTTTTGATGAGTGATTTTCTTTTAATTAATTGGCTAAATCAACATCTCTCTATTTTACTTTTAAGGTAGATCTCTTGAATCATAATTATCCAAATCATGTAGGAACTTACATTTCCTTTTGCCTGAATCATTAGACTAATCATTCATTCAGCAAACATTTTTTAGGTACCAATTTATGCTAGACACTGATAATGACAGTATAGACCTTGCCCAAGAGAGCTCACAGTCTAGAAGAGAAGACAGGCAAGAAAACCAATATTTATAATAAAATGTGATACATGCAATAATAGAAGCATGAACAAGTTCCAGAAGTAGTACAGAAGTAGTGATTCATTCAGCCTGGGGTGAGGTCAGGGAAGGATTTTCTGATATAAAGCCTCAACAGGGTTTTGAAGGCCAAGGAGGAATTTACCAACTGGACAAAAAGAGAAATGGCATTCGAGCCAGAAAAAACAGCATGAGCAAAGGCAAGAAAGCATGAAACCACATGGTGCGTTGGGAAAATTACACGTAATTCTGTGCTGCTGGCACCGCCAGAACACAACATACAAAGAAGGGAACAGAGACTGAGGAGACAAAGCAAGAGGTGGGTGCAGGTCACCCAGATCTTTGTATGCTCTGCTGAAGAGGCAATGAGAAATCAGTGAAGTGTCAGATAAGCAATCTACATAGGGGCCTCTGACTTTAGGGTACAGGTTAAGTTGGAAGAGGGTGAAATTAGAAGCAGAGTAACTTCTGCAATAGTTCCGGTAAGAATTGCTAAGGGCCTAAATTAAGGCAGTGGCAGTGATAATAGGCAGAAAAGGCCAGATCTGAGACAAATTTAGGAAATTAAAACCAAGAGCATTAAGTAAAAAGGACGTGGGGATGGGAAGAACAAATTCAGGATGACTCCTATATTTCTTGCTTGTCCACTGGGTAGATGGTGCTACCATCAACTGAAATATGGGTTAGGGAAGAAAGAGCAGGTTTGGGGGGAGGGGAAAAAGAAATAGAAAATGAATTGCATTTCAGACATGTGGAGTTTGAGGTACCTGTGGGACATCCAGGTGGAGATGTCCAGTAGGCAGGTGGAAATACGGGCCTGGAGCTCGGGGGAGAGGTCGGGGCTGGAGATATAGATTTAGGAGTCATCAGCATATAGGTGTTAGTTACAACCATCGGAGTAGATGAGAAAAAAGTGGCAGGCTTTTGGCTAAATCACCTGTGTAGGCTACAACATGGATTTACTTGATAAATTTCCAACTAACCTTGTGCTATTACAGATCTGGCATTAGGAAAGAAGACAGTTAACAGATATTTTAAAATATAAAAGTTGGCCCCTATCAGTTTCATTACAGAAATTTACCTAGAACATAAGACACAAAAATCATCTGGGACTTTTAAAGTTCCAGCCTATTATGAAACCTTAGATATTACTTTGAATCCTTCAAAAAAAAAAAAAAAAAAGAAAGAAAGAAAGAAAATGCAGACGACCCTTTCTTACCTTCTTGAGCAGTTGGTACCATCCAAGTGGTGGTAGCAGTTGCTTTCTTCACATTTTCCATCTCACTCTCATCTGTAATAACTTCCAGGGCTCCAAACTCATTTACCCGAAACTAGCAACAACATGGCAAAAAGAGGCAAAATTTACAAAAGTGCTCGGGACAGTAATTATTGAATGACTGACACATACCGTCTTTAAGTAAATTAACTATGTGTTAGAAGTCAATTTAAACAATCATACCTCGATAAGCCTTCTATCAACATTAAAACCTTTGTATTTTACTAATTTGGAGATTCAGGGAAGAGGAACAGAACAAAGCAGCAGGATATAAACAGCCCTGCCCTGTCCTCCAGAGTTGCCATCTTGCTTGGACGGCCTGTCACTTCAAACACACTTCGTTTTTTTAACTAAGTTGTGCTTTAATCAAAGAAAGTAAAAGGAGCGTTACTCGTTCCCAGGAATCGACTGGTCTCACCGATGCTCACCTACTTCACAGAGAAGGGACATCCCTATTCCAGAAATAATGACCTGCACATCCTTCTCCTTAATAAGTTGCAAGATGTGAGCACAGAAGGCTGCAGCATGAGCCATGTAACCCCAGTGTTACACTTTCTCTTTCTCCTGCTGCTCTTTAGAATTCTCCATTATCTTCACCTCTAGTCTTCAGAACCCAGTGGAAATTTCTATGAGAGCTAAACAAGTGTCTATTAGCTATAGGTCAAAACATTTTATCCCTAAAAAGTAAGGGCCTTTTGATTTCATGGACATTCCCATTCCCAGTACTGAAAATTTCCTCTCACCTCATGGCAAGCTTCAAAGTATGTTTCTACAACAACCTGGTTGTACTGTGTGTGTGTTGAAGGCTTAACCATTACCCATGTGCGGGGGCCCTGTTCTCTCTGAAGAAGCTAGATTTACTCTTGTATTCACGAATTTCAAGAGGTTTTCCATATTCCCTCTGTTTTTCCTTAAAACAGAGAGACATTGTGGATCCACTAATTTTAACAGGTGATGAACAGCTAGAAAGCTCAAAATTCAAAAGGCTAAGAAAAGTTTTTAGATCTCTCACAGAAATTATGAGCATGCAAATATGTAGTATTTAAGCAAGGCTCTCCATTTGCCAATCTGAAAAATGTATTTGGTCAGCATGCCAATAGAATTATTTATTTTACCAAACTGTATCAGTCTGCAAGTCAGAAAAATCTTAAGCAAAAAGTGCCAATAATTATTCTTTCCACCAGACTAAAACAGCACCTTAAACAAATTTCTACACATAGTCCACAATTATTAAATGCTTTCTAGACTGAATGAGGTAAAATGGTTAAGGAATGTGAGAATGTTTTCTCCCTACTACATCTTCCAGATACAAGTTCCCAGGGTAATCTATAAGTATTATTCCAAGTGTGTACACCTAACATGTCAGCGTAGGAAGTGGTAAAAAGTTAATTAGAAGAAAAAGAGCTAAAAATAACTTTTTTCGAAAAAAAATCTTAAACTTTTTTTTAATGACCACTCTGAAAACAGAATATTTCAAACTAAGGCTGACAGTACCATCTACTGGGCAATAGTAAAAAGAACAAGCTATCATGATAATTATTAATTAAGGATATTAAAGAATATGACAGAAAAATCAATTCTGAATTAAAATTAAAAAAATAGGCACAAGCCTGACAATTTACTTCAGGTGAGTAATTTTACTTTCATTACATGTCACTGATGTTAATTTATGCTTTTTGAGAAATAGCATCAAACATTTACATTAAACACAAAGTCTCCTGTGGCTTAAGTTTCCAAATTGCTGTGAAACCACCTTGCATTTTAGACACTGAGAAAGAGACCAACACTGAGTTGAATCTCCAAGTAAAACTTCAGATCTATGACACCCAGAAGCTTTAGGCTCAGATACCGTCAAAGTTAAAAGGTAATATTTCCACAATACAACACTTAATCTCAGTCATCTTTTCCTTTGCCTAAAATTAATTGCCAGTAACTGACCTATAGTCTAAGTAGAAAGTAAAGCTGTAATGTCACTTAGGGGTACAGTTAACTCTTCTAAACCAGAGATCCATGGATGGACTTCAAGCATTTGTGAATCCCACAAAATATATGTGAAATTATGGTATGTGCACATACACAGTTTTCTGGGGATAGAGTTCATAGCTTTTATCATATCCTCAAATGAAAACAACCCTGAAAAAGTAAAGAACATCTGCTCTAACCAAAGTTGTTTATCTCAAAAATTAAAAACCTCAAAGCATTTTCAAAGTATCCTATCATATGCAAAAAGATATAGGGATCAAATATTTCTCTGGCTTCTCAACTTGGATATACTGTGTCTTCCACGATATTACTATTATAAAAATGTCAGATAATGTAGGTTGTTAGGTGCTGCTAACATTACTGATGTCCCACAGACAGAAATTCCAGAAAGACTGATACATTTCCTAGCATTTTTTTTCAATGAAAACACCCAGGCTCTGAAATTGGCAAAGCTTTTATGAATGGAATAATAAAAACTTCACCTTTATTTTTTTAAATTATTAGTTTCCTTAACCTAGAAGGCTAAGGACAGTCTAAAAGTTTGTCAAGTGGCTCTACTCTACAACGAAGAATACCAAAATTATAAACTTTACAAAAGGGATTTACTAATATTAAGGAAACCAAACACATCAGCTGACATAGAACTTTTTCTGCATGTGGATATATCCAGGTCAGTCAGACAACAACCATGCCTGAAATGTTTAAGTGGTTGCGAATGTTTTGTTTGCTTGGCTTGAACTACCTTTAATTGATTCAATTCTCCTTTTTATTTTTGTTTGTAAAAGCAAAGGATCTTTTGCCTATTTTTGCCTGTCTTTAATAACAGATCATCAAAAGATGCTGCTGAGGTCATTATTTTCATTTTATTACTTTCAATGCTGAGATTCGAATTCTACTTACCAGTGCATTTTAAGGGCAAGGATATTTGGTAACTAAACTATTCTGAACATTAATCAAGGCAAGGCAAAACCACATATTAAGAGTGCAGTGAATTTTACAGTTGGGTTTCTGCCTGTGCTGCAGGGTCTTGCTCGTGGCTAAGCAGCAATTTTTCTTACTAGATAAGATGCTATCCTCTCAGGAGTGTATCTGCATTTTACTGAGGGACTCTGAAAGACATTATGACCCGGAGGAATAATTCTCTGAGGATAAATTGTAGACATCATTAGACGTGCAGGTGGAGAAACTGCTCAGGCACAGGCCACCCCTACCATGCAAGTTTCCATTGCCACTTGGTCCCCTGCCTATTCTTACAGCTGGCCAGGAGACATTAATCTACAAACACTAATTTGTGTTTTAAAAGAACAAACTAGGCAATGGTAAAATTTCCAAAGCTTGCTTAGACAAAGAAATCCTGCTCATGACTACAATATTTTCAAGAATGTCAGCAGACACTTGCTGTCCCCCCTTAATACTCTGCGCCTTCTTAAACTACTCCCTCTTCTGGAAGCCCTCCCCTCTCTTTCGTTCTCCAGTCTCTGCTCCTCAAAAGTATTCTGGAGACTCCTACCTGAATGGTGGCATCTGAAGTTCAGATGACATCTATTTTTCAAAATCTTCCTGGTCCCCCCAGCTGAAATAAATTTTTACCTCCTCTCAATTCCTGTAACATTTTTCTTGTATCTCTTCTGATATGAAAATGCTTTCTTCTCTCCTTAGTATAGCAGCAGTAAGAAAATCAATTTTAATACCAGGAAAGCCTGGTTTTAAGACCTAGTTCTGCCAGTAACTGACTGAAGCAAATGAATTAACCACCCTGGGCCTCCCACCTTTCCCATCTGTAAACTGACAAGAGAGACATAAATAGAAGGATTAAATAAAAGGATGCGGGTAGAATGCTCACCAGAGAGTAAGTCCTCTATTCTTACCCAAAGAAGATGTCTGTGCTCTGTTTTATATAAGCTTTAGTTGGCCCAGTGTGGAAAAAGGAAAGGGGATCTAGCAGCAGGGAAAAGTGAAAGGGGCCCAGGGTGGCCTGGGTAGAAATCGAGAGCAGCACTGAGGTGTGAAATGAGATATGGTCGGAGAGAGAAGTGGGGGCCAGACCACCGCAGAAACTCTTGCGGTAACGTAGGGGGCTTGAACTTTGTCATGAAAGATTCGGGCAACTGCTAAAAAATTTTAAGCAGGAGAGTGACATAACTTGATTCGACAGCAATCATGAGACTTGTATAGAGAAAAGTTCTTTCAAAACGGCAAAACTTCACACATATAAAAACCTGTTCCCATCATAAAAAATTGACTTCTACGGATTAGTGGACTATATTAGCTGATTCAACTTCAGCTGGTTGTCTTAGGCTACCACACTGTTAGGAAATAAATCCACATGCCTATGCCCATTAAAAAACAGAAGGCTGGTACTGAAAATAGGCAAAGCATGATGTGCAAGAGTAAATTTCACGATTTATTCTAAGTTTTTTCCAATATCCTAATTTTGTGAAAAATCAGTTTCACAATCAACTTAAGCAACTCAGATTTTAAATAAGAAGCAATTGAATTAGAAATCTCCAGCAATATAATCAACTGGCTAGTGTCTGAATCTCCTTGGATAAAAAGGGTTATAAAGTAGAAAATAATTTTTAATTTTCTTTCTTAAGTGAGGTATCACAGTGAGCTATGATCATGCCATTGCCCTCCAGCCTGGGCAACAGAGCAAGATCCTGTCTCAAAAAAAAAAAAAAAAAGTGAGGTATCAAACTGTCCACAGTACATGAAGTGAACTGGATACATGGCAATTACCCAGGTAATAACATGAGTCTAAAAGTCATATCAAATAACCCAGATTACAATACCCACCAAATGGCCTAATTATCTGATTACCTTAATAAAAGTAATAGGTTAATTTCTAAAATTCACAGTTTAGAAAGCCTAAAGCAATCCAGATTTCTTAGGGATGGAAACTTCACTCTATTGTCAAAAGCTAACTGAACAAGAGTTACAAATTTCATCATCTGTCGGACATTAAAAAAAAAAAAAAGCTATTGAGAAGAAAAAGGATAAAAATGCACATGAAAAATAAGGGAGGGAAGCAATAAAAAAGGCAGTTTACATAATATATTGCAAAATCAGAAAAGACACAATGCGTTAAATGTTTTATATACATTTTTTCCATCCTCATAACAACCTTATGACATAGATTCTAAAATCCCATTTTATAGGTAAGGATTCCCAAACTTAGGAAATTTAAACAATTTGACAACGCTCAAGTAGCTATTATGTAGTTGACAGTATCAGAGTTTGAGAAACAATTTTTCTTTCTCAAAAATGTTCAGCACTCTATCTCCATCATATCTTACTTATCCAGATGAACATGTGGAAAATGTTAGAGCAGCAGAATCCCTGACATTCATTTAATTCCTAACTGACTACAGAGGAAACTTGACCAATAGAGCTTAACTGACTTGTTCACAATAATACAGAACTAAAACTGAAAACCCAATCTCCTCTCCAGATTCCACTACAGTAAACCCCACTGCAATAGTTGTGTTACATTAAACTCAGAGATGTCAGCATATTGTACTTAATTACAGCTAACCCAACTAAAATCTAAGTATTTTTTTCAATGACAGGCAGACTGTTCAAATCTAACCACTGAGGATGAGCTCAGGCAGGCCTGGCTAGGATACCTGTCAAGCCATTGACAGGGATTAGATTCCAAAAAGCCTATATGAAGGGGCAGGAATTCCCATTTAAGACAGCCCAGAATACCAAGCATTAGAGAGGCAAACCAAGTGACAGCCTGTTCAGGAGATAGGAAGTTCAAATACCTGAATGACCAAGTGCAAACACAAAGTCTAAAGGGCCACACACAGGTTCAAGGTCCCAGAGACAGGATCAGAGCAAAAGCAAATTAGAAATGGCGATGGGGGTGGGATGGGGGGAGGTTTGCTTCTCAGGCGGGTGCTTGTACAACCATGTTTCATGGGGCAGCAGAGGTGGTCCTGGAAGAGGTTTAGGGGAACTGGAAACAGGGCACGGTGAGCACATATAAAGCAGCAGACTGAAGCGCTGCTTTCTGAAGAGTTCTCACCTAGACTAAAGCAGCCTGGTTTACAGGAAGGGCCTGCTTTTGAACAAAAGATTACATAAAAACCCACATTTACAGTATAAATAATTTAAAGGAGGTGAATAGTTTTGTTTATTCACTATGTTAACATTATGCAGTTTTGAAATGAGAACATTAAGATACAGGGATTGTGACTATTCAAAGTTACAAAGCCCATTACTACAAAATCTAAAATGCTAGGTCTTCTAAGACTGCCATTTTCACATTTATCGCCACGAAGATAGAGTCAAAACAGAGATGATCCACCTTGAAGCTATGAATCAATTTCTGCAAAATAAACACATACTGCAGAAATATTCCTTACTCCCCTAACTGAAGAGATAAAGGCTTTTGCCAATCCATCGGCATTTCAAATTGTCTTGCAAGTTTATTGTACAGGTCTAAGCACTGTAGAGATCTAGTGGTAAAAACCTACAGCATTATGATTAATGCTTTTAATTATTATTTCACATATGTATTCAATTTTAAAATAAGCACACACACAGAAGCACACACATATAATTGTATGTAATAAAGATAGCTTACCTTTAAGTCACTTCCTGGTAATGTACCTACTCCATCTTTCCAGTCCATAACACTGAATACATCAAACTCTTGACCACTTGTGCTAGAGGCAGATTCAGTCATGATTTATTTTTTAACCTGGAAGGGAAAAAGAAGCCATATCACTAAATATTCCACATAGAAATCTGTTTTTAATTTAGTGTTCATGACTGCAATTTCCCTCAATTATGTACTTTTCTTGATCACAATATCCCATATCCCTACACTTAAAAAGAACTGCTATCATTAACATTTTTTTCTTAGTATAATCCCTGGTAAATTATAGAAGAAAAAAATGTTAATAAAAACTTCTAAGTTAAAAAGTGTCATGATAAACTTTTGCTATTCATTAAAAAAGGAATTCATTGATTTTTACATTATTTACTTAAAACAAAAAATCATGATACTGTACAGACAGAATTCCTTACCCTCTAAGTAGTTTTTTGGTTTTTTTTTTCTGTTTTAAAACACTGAGAAGAGAGTAGGTATGGATAAAGGATAGAAGTAATCTAAAATATTGATTAAAAAGAGGCCTTTTTGATAATAAAATAGAAAAAAATTCAGTCCATTATTGACTGTCATCTACACTAAATTTATCAATTGTTTATTCTATCGATACAACAAATGCAGAATGTGACTGATTCTTTCAGTAAATTAGTTTAGCATCAGTAAAAATATCTAGCAATTTGTCACTCTGGGAAACAGGAAAACAATCTCAAAATGTACAGTAAACACTAATAATAAAGCTCAGCTAAAATAATCGATTTATCTAGCTAAACTCTGATAATGCTTTTAATTTTCCTTTTTTTAAATTTCAAAACAATTTTCCATAATCATATTGTTGGTGGTAGTATTGATACTGTTGCTCTAAGACTATTGTCTGTGTAACAGTAGATAAAACAAATAAGTAATTATGTTGGTTTCATACATAACCAATGAAAGAGCAATGGATTCTAAATTTGAATGGAAGCATCAGGATAAATTCATGATGTGTTTTATTTTTAAAAATACATATTTTCTAGTTTTGTCCACTGGAAAAAATCTAGAAAAATATCACGCATCAACAGTAATGAGCAACCTAGTGCTCAGATTGTGGTATCTAAGGACCATTTTGCCCAAGTCTCCCCAGAGAAGGAAGTGATTTCTGCTCAATGGCAGGAAATGTCCAAGACAAGACTGGAACATCTTGTCAAACAAGAAAGCAAAGAAGCTACCAAAGAGAACAAAAGTTATATCCAAAGAACTTAGGAGCCAACTTGAAGAGGCTCCTGCAGGCCAAAGTTAGGCAAAGCAGTATTCATACTAGCTGCAGTAAATTGAAACATATCAAATAGGTTAAATTCACAAGTTTATAATGATATGCAAAGTAAACAAACCAAGAACATTGCATTGATAACTTTTTGAGGATACAAGGGAACCAACTCATTATTTGGAAGAAGAAACAAGGTTTATGTTGCCTTTCTGTGCAAACTGTGTCTCAGGGTAATTAAAACATTGGTGAGAGGAAGTTTCCCTTTAGAAAGAATTTCAGCTAATAAATGAAAAAGGAATGATAAATATTACCATTTACAATCCTTAATAAATTAATGGCTCTAGGCAATGACCATCAATGGCTACTAAGAATGCAAATCCAACACCATTTATGAAGTAGTATTGCCAGGAAAAAACAAAGTCAAACTTAATTGCATCGGGTCTATTTATAGGAAATACCAGAGAAAGGGAACATGTTAAATGACACCATAAAGATATAAGGAACGAAATCCAGACTGTTAGAAACTCTTCAGCATCATTTCTCCAAGTGTGCATTTCTCAAGGGCCTCGGAGACCTTGTCAAAATGTCTATGAAAACTATTTTCATAAAATACTAACATTATTTACTTTCTTCACTGTGCTGACATTTGCACTGATGATGCAAAAGCAAAAGTGGATCAACTGCTGGTACAGCAGCACCCAACATAGTAGTCGTCATTTATTCTTTTTGTGTGTGTGTTCAATGATTAATTTTATGTCAAAGGCATTGCATTCTTGACCACCATGCACTCAGAGTAAACAAATGGCAGTTTCACTAAAGACCATCCTTGAAGAAGTAAAAAGAATAAATTTTATTAAGTGTTGATATTTGAATATATATCTTTTTAATATTGTGTTATGAAATGGAAACTACTTTGGCATGCCAAAGTACCATGGAAAAGCACTTGTGAATAGTTTGAGATGCAAGCTAAATGAGATGCTTTTTAAATGGAATATCATTTTTACTTAATAGACTATGTTCATTTGGGTTTGGATATTTGGCAAATACTTTGTCAAAAATAAATTAAATGATCTTGTCACACCAAGGAAAAAACTGACAGTATTTGTTGCTGATAATTAAATTTGAGCCTTCAAGGAAAAATCAGGATTTTGGAAAATTTGCAATCACCACCATGAGCTTAACAGCTTCCCAACAGCTAAGGACTTTTCGGAAGAAGACGGATGGGTGGTGATAATAATGAATGTGATTTTTAAATATTTCATAATTAAATATGTCAACATTTAGAAGAACTGCATAACTTGGTGAAGCAATATTTTCCAAATGACCAATGCATGATGGCACAAAATTATGCATGTGTAAAAGATCCATTCAAAGTGCAAGACGTACCAATAGATTTTAATGTAACAGAGTATGAAAAGCTCACTGATAAGGTTTCAAATTGCACATTGCAACTAACCTTTAAGTAACTACCACCTGTCAAGTTTTAGTGTGGTATTAAAGAATATCCACTATTAAACAAAAAGACTATTAAAATATTCCTCCCTTTTCTAAGCCATATCTTCATGAAGCCAGATTTTCTTCATATACTTCTATCAAAACAACCTAATGCAACAGAATGCAGAAGCAAATATAAGAATCCAGGTATCTGCTATTAAATCAGACATTAAAGAGATTTGCAAAAATGTAAAACAATGCCATTTCTCATTTTTTCTAATTTCGAAAACTATGATTATGCTTCATAAAAATTATGTTTGCATATACTATAATGTACTGGATTTATCACTGTTATTTTAAGTAAATAAATAGTTTAAATTATCTATTTGTAATACAGTAAATATTCATATGTATAACCCATACAATCGATACTTCTTTGGGCTTTAAAACATTTTTAGAGTGAAAAAGAGACTTGAAACCAAAAAGTCTGAAAACCAATAATGTACAGGATAAAAACTTGGTTTTTTTCCCACAGAAAAAGAAACTAAAAAAAAAAAAAAATAGATGGAAGAGGAAATTTGAAATTTAGATTAAAAGAGATTTAAGAGACATATTAAGCAATCATAATACCACAGTTCATAGATCTTGTCTGGACCCTGACTTAAACTATTTTTTAAAAACATTATTAGACAAGAAGGGAAGTATGAATGCCAACTGGCTATTTGATGATATTAGAGAAATACTGCTGCTTTTTTTTTTTTTATAGGAATGACAATAGTTATGTACTTTTAAAAAGGAGTTCTTCCTCATATTTCAGAAATACAAACTAAAGTGAATAGATGAAATTATATAATGTGAGAAATTTGCTTTAATCAAAGGGGTGAAGTAGTCAAATAAGGCGGGCAATGTGTTGGTAACTGTTAGACATGCAGGGTCCACAGTAGTTTGTTATTCTATATCCTTATTTTGTACATGCTTGAAAAATTCATTCAAGTTTTTTTTTTGAGACAGAGTCTTACTTTGTCGCCCTGAGTAGCATGCAGTGGCGTCACCACAGCTCACTGCAACCTCAAACTCCTGGGCTCATGTGATTCACCTGCCTCAGCCTCCCCAGTAGCTGGGACTACAGGCACGCACCACCATGCCCGGCTAATTTTTCTATTTTTAGTAGAGAGGGGTCTCACTCTTGGTGACGCTGGTCTAGAACTGCTGAGCTCAAGCGATCCTCCTGCCTCGGCCTCCCAGAGTGCTAGGATTACAGGCGAGAGTCACTGAGCCTGGCACAAGATTTTTTTGAAGCTCACCCTCCTTACACACGAGGGCTGTCCAGAAAGTATCCAGCTATTGTTAATATAATGAGAACATACTACATGGCTAGATACTTTCCGGACAGCCCTTGTACCTACAGTTGATCTTTGAACAAGATGCGTGTGAACTGTGCGGGTCTACTTATATATAGATTTTTTTTCAACCAAACATGGATCTAAAATACAGTATTCATGAGATCCACAGGGCAGACCTATCGGACTTAAATATGAGTGAATTTTGATACATGAGGGGACCCTAGAACCAATCTCTCAGGAATACTAAGAGAAGACTGTAAATAGATGTTTTAAATAGATGTTTCAATATTCTTTCTTCTTTTTTTCCCTTTACCTAGAGAAAATGTCAAATAGTAGACATGTATTTTATTAAGTCTATTTCTGATCATTTCAAAATTTATATAGTCTGAATTTGAAGAATCAGATTTCAGAGACATCAAAGCAGAGGCAACAAAAGCAGAAATAGACAAATGAGATTATATCAAACTAAAAAGGTTCTACACAGCAGAGGAAATGGAGTGAAGAGAAAAAAACTACAAAATGAGAGAAAATACTTGCAAACTATCTACCCAACAAGGGATTAATATCCAGAATATATAAGAAACTCAAACAACTCAACAGCTAAAAAACAATCTGATTCAAAAATGGGTAAATAATCTAAATAAACATTTCTCAAAACAAGACATACAAATGGTCAACAGATACATAAAAAAATGCTCACTATCATTAATCAGAGAAATACAAATCAAAACCACAGTGAATTATCATCTTACTCTAGTTAAAATAGCTATTTAAAAAAGACAAAAAATAACAAATGCTGATAAGGATGCACAGAAGGGGGAACTCTTCTACACCGTTGATAGGAATATAAATTAGTATAGCCATTACAAAAAATAGTATGGAAGTTCCTCAAAAAAACTAAAAACAGAAATACCATGTGATCCAGCAGTCCCACAAATGGGTATATATCCAAAAGAAAGAAATCTGTATGTTGAAGAGATAATCCTCGCTCTCATGTTTATTGTAGCACTACTCACAACAGCCAAGATATGGAATCAGCCTAAGCGTTCATCAATAGATGAATGCAGACA